GATCTTAAAATCTAACGTTGATAAACGGAAACATCGGCACACGTAGATACGTAGATCTTGAAAGTCGAGTTGTTCAAAACTTGAAAATAACGTTGATAACTGGACCAATTGTTGATGGTAATGTTGCAAACGAAATACCTGCTGGAGCTTTTCGCCAGACACTAATCATAGCAGAACTGTCTGGAAAATGATCTATGGGAAATAGTACAGCTTATAAAATAACTCTTTACCGTTCCTAGACGTCTTAGTTGAAAAAGATGACTTTTGTTTTCTCACCAGTATATATAGAAAACCTAACTTTACAGGACAGTACACACGATGGGATTATTTCAGTCCTAAAAGTCGCAAAACGAACCTTATTGCTACTTTAGTCTATCTCAGTTCCACAGCTTTAGTCAAATGTTCGTTAGCTAACTGAAATGCTAATTGCATTGTTTGTAATAACGCTACTTTGTAATCATAATATATTACATAATTTACTTGGCTAGCAGCTAGTATTTTCCTGCATGGGCAACCTTATATCTCTATCATGTAGTAGAAAGAAAGGACGTTAGTGTGGATTAGTTTTCAGCACTTTGATATGCTAATAATAGCAAAATAATCTGCTCAGACCATGTTTTCTAATATTTTTGGCATTATTGTTAGATCATGTCTGGTAAAGTTAAACCTTTCCACCAGACCATTAGCAGCTGGGCCATAAGCAGTGATCTCTATTTTCTTAACATGTTTAGCTACTAATTAGTTTACAAATGCTTTGAAATTGTTTGGGCTTTCTGACCTGGTAGGGATATTGCCTCAGAAAATCTAGACAGGTAATCTGCGACACTAGTACATATTTGTTTCCTGCATAGGATGTAGGCAATGGGGCCTATCGCTGTTAACTGGAAAGACATGGTTAAACTCAACATTTTCTATAAAAGAGCATTCCTAAGGTGTTTGTTCATTTTTTGCTTCTGGCATTCTTTGCGTGATTCACAATAATCTTTAATATATTTTCTCATATTTAACCAAACAAAAAACCTTTTACTTATTCTACTATATGTTTTCGCGAAGGCTAGGTGTGCTGTAAATGACATGTCACAATTTTGGAAAGAAATATTGACTTCTTATGCACAATACTCATACCACCACCATATATAAAATTAGTTAAACCTTTTCTTTATAAAACTATCCGCTTGTCATGTAGACTTTTACTCCTGATGACGGTAGCATAAAGTTACCGAAGCATGTAGAGTCTTTTTAATATTGATCATTTCTCAAATAAAAATTTTATTGTGCATTTTAAAAGTTGATTTTGTTTTTTTAATTTTAACATATATTGGACAAGTTGCCATAATTGAATCCTCAAGCTATAGGATGTTCTTTTCCATTCTCATCCAACTGTGATAATACTGCACCTATAGCAAAATCTGAACCATATGTGCTTAGAATAAACTCCTTACTGAAATCTGGGTGACTTAGAATTGGTGCCTTTAATAGAGTATCTCTTGATATCTGAAATGTCTGCTGTCTTTTGTCTGTCCACTGAAATGTCATTTTCCTCTCAGTCAGTTTTTTAATGGTTTTTCCAGTCATACAAAACGTGGTATAAATCTTCTATAAATCGTACAAATTGTAAAAATGCACAAATGTCTTTCACTGTTTTAGGTACTGGATAGTTTTTACAAACTTCCAACTTTTAAGGTCAGGTTCTACACCCCATAGCTGTTTAATTTATAAAACAGTTTAATGTCTAACGTCCTACTCTGAAACAAACAATTGTTAATTTGATTTCAATTGTTTTGTAATATTTTCTTCATTACCAAAAGTATTAGACCAAATCTACCATCCTTACAGTATAAATTGTATCAACTTTATAGTCATTTTAGCCACAACCTATATTTAAGATAGATTAGATAGTGAACATTAAAAAATATAGTTTAAAATCATTTATAAATTTCTCTTATAAGATAAAATTGTTTTTAGGTGTGGTAATAATTGAGTAAACTTTCTTTCCAGATTATTGTGTTCCTTTCCATGGTGGCGCCAGTTTCGGAACTTATGTAAGCAGTCCTCTTTACTTTAATTTACTACCACACGTTCAGTACAGACCGTTGGCTGTTTCACTTTCTGCTCCTGAGGCTTCCGCAGCTGTTGAAGAGGTAAGAATATGAAACAACATGTGTTTAACATTTATTAATTTTTAAAAAATGAACATGCACAGATAACTTTTTTTTTATTAGCCTAGTTCCTTTTCCTTTGCATTCACTGCTGAGGGTGACGGAGGATTCAGTTCCAGAGCAGAATCTGAAGTAACGGGTGGAGATGTTAGTGGATCCTACAGTTTCAACATCCCAGACGGACGCCAGCGCCAAGTTAGCTACAGTGCTGGTACTTCTGGTTTCACAGCAACAGTGAAATCCAACGAACACGAAATCTTAGCTCTATGTTTGGACGCACCATTGCCATCAGGATCTCAGGCTGCTGCTCCATCAGTGCCCTCTCTTGGCTTCGTGAGTATATGTTTGCTTCACTATCTGAACGAGAAATATTGTTTTTTAACTTCCTGACCTGTGTATGTTTTATTTCACACAAACGAATTGGAGTAGTTACGAACCATTAGGTTAGTTGCTCTTATAAAGGAATGACAATTTAAAAATGTAGAAGAGTGTAGACTCATTTGGTTATTCCTTGTATCCCTCCCCCACCCTTTTGTTTTAAAGGCAGAATATTTTCACTGTTGTTAGAAAACCTACACTTGATAGTTGTAATTGACTTCCTTAATTTGTATAGTTAATACACATTTGCTTACATACTTGCAAAAAAATGAATTTAAAGCAATAATATAATTATCATAGACAAGATAACACATGATAATTTAGGTAAGTTGACCAGAAGAGAGGACAGATTAACTCCTACTTCATCTCCTTTGGGGTTTTCTGATTTTCGTCTATGAAACAAATGATTAAATTGAGTGTAAAAAGATTGGAGTGTTCTGATCGTGATTTTTGGATTTCTTTTATATATTACTCTTGATAAGTAAAACTATTTCTTTAAGAAATCTGCTAAGTAGAATACGAAGTACAGAAGAAAATTATATTTTACCAAAAATAAACTCATTAACTTTACAGACTAGCAAATATTCGATGACGTACTCCGCTGTTTCTGGAGGAGGATCTCATGATCGTACTGAGAGTGGCGATACTTCCGGTACCGTAATAGATTCTTACAGCTTGACCCATGAAGGTAGATGCCGAAGAAAGGTTTACTATATTGCTGGCGGTGCAGGATTCAAAGCCACTATCCACACCAATGAACAAGGAATGGTCCCAGGAGAAGATTCCGCCGATATTTCAATTCTCGCTTGTGCAGGAGCCGCTGAACCTTCTGGTGCTACAGGTGACGCTGCTGAAACTTCTGGTGCTGCAGGTGGCGCTATTGGAGGAGCAGTAAGCTTTTCAAAGATATATATATATATATTAACATGTTAATCCTTTATAAGATACGTATGTACAGTTAGTAAATATTTTATTATCTAGTTTCAAAACCTGACGAAAGCTTAGCCAAAGGAATTTTATGCTAGTGTACACCCTATCGGCCATTTATAACCTTTTCACCAAGATATCAGTGGTTCTCTAGTCTGTTCGAACGTTCAGTGGGAGTTTGTTTGCTGGTTTTAGAACACAGCCACATTTGGTTATATGTTGTATCTACTGCGGTGGAATAGAACCCAGGATTTTTGCGTTGTTAGTCCATAGACTGACTACGGTCCCACCGTGTGGAAATATTGCATTTTTCGTCATACTCGTAATATTAATATACGTAATTAGAGAATTTTAAAGTAGAAGACTTAATTATCATTATCATGGGATTTTGTTTATCTAAAAAATCTACATAGATTATTTCTCTAGTAAGATTGGAATACATAAAAGTAAGATTTAGTAAAATTTCCATTTGAACTTGAAAGTAATGTTTCTCCTAAAAAACAAAACAAAATCCAGTGATAATATTTTTCGTTCGTGATGCATTAATGATACAATAAATAATACCAGAAGAGTTGAAACTTGCAAGTAAGAAATACTTTAATATAAATGTTCTAAATTATTCCAGGATACTCCTTTCGACTTCATGTACAATGCTGTTTCTGGAGGTGGACTCCACGACGGGCAGAAAGTGGCGATGCTTGAGGCAGAGTTATGGGTTCTTACAGCTTGACCCATGAAGGTGGAAGCCAAAGAAAGGTTGACTACACCGCTGACGGTGCAGGATTGAAAGCCATTAACTACACCAGGGGTCACCAAACTACGGCCCGCGAGGTCAGTTCATCCGGCCCGCCGCTGCACTGTGTCACAAATGAGCTAAAATAAAATTATTTATATGGAGATATCTTAGATTGTAGATAAACTTACTATGTAAAAAAATAAAGTGTAAGTAAAAATGTCCAAATTTGTCCAATCTGATTTTTGCATCTGACAGTAATATAAGTTTTAGGAAAATCAGTGAAATAAAAAATTCGGCAACTTTGGATATCAGAGCGCTTTTTGTGTAAGTACCTGCAATGAGAGTTCATTCCTGCAGTCGCCTCTGATAACGTAGCTTCCAAGTATCTTTTTCTTAATTTCTTCTCCATCTATTTAGAGATAACTGATCTTCCAAGTATTTTTCCTTATTATTTGTTCCTCCATCTATTGAGAGATAACTGAACTTCCAAGTATTTTTTCTTATTTTTTTCTCAATCTATTGAGACAGGGGTCACCAAACTAACGCCCGTGGGCCAGATCCGGCCTGCGAGATCAATTCATCCAGCCCACCACTGCACTGTGCTACAAATGAGCTAAAACGATTTAATTAAATTAACGAAGATTTTGATTAAATTAGTATCACATTCTTAATACTATATTTGCCTATTAAGATTCTTAATATTATTAATTATTTTTTATAAAGCTCTTCTAATTAACTTACATAATAAATTTTAAATACATTGGCAAATTATAAAAATTGCTTAATCAAATAATTTATCGGGAAAAACTTTTAAACAAATTGCGTAATAACGTAATTTAATGGCATGACCTATTTACATTTAGTTTGTCATGTTTATATACATGTCAAAAACATTTTGAAAAATTATTATCTTTCTAAAACTTTTTGGTAGACTATTCAATGTGGAAATAAACAATTGTTTTTCATTTTTAGATCCTGTTTTCTTCAACCATCGTTATGGCTACTAAGAGAAGAAAAGTAGACGCTGAGTGTCACATTTTCAATGAAGAATGGGGAGAAAAGTATTTCTTTGTGGAAACAAACAACCAGAAAGCTAGTTACATGATATGCAACGAAAGTGTTGCCGTTTTGAAAGAGTACAATCTTTGGCATCACTATGAAACAAAACATCTGTCAACATATTCGAATTTTTCTGGAAAGTTGCGTTCTGAGAAATTTGAGTTCATGAAACGTACTTTGGAATCTCAAAGGAATCTCTTCACGAGAATGTTTGCTGAAAATGAGTCTGTCAATCGTACAAGTTACAAAATAGTACATAAGATGGCAGAGCGAGGAAAACCGTTTACTGACGGCAACTTCATCAAAGAGTGTATGATGGAAGTATCAAATGACTTGTGTCCTGAGAAAGCCAATTTGTTTAGAAGTATCAGCCTTTCAGCAAGTTCAATTGTGCTGAGAACAGAAGAACTTGGAGAGAACATGGTGTTACAGATACGCGAGAAAGCTAGGAACTTCTTGTGGTATTCTCTGGTGCTGTATGAGTCTACTGATCTCTCGAGTACGTCACAACTTCTCGTGTTCATTCGTGGTGTTAATTTGGACTTTCAGATCACACAAAAGTTGGTATCCGTTTACAGCATGCACGGAACAACAACTGGAGAAGACATTTTCAAGGAAGTGCAGAAAACTTTGCAAGGCTATAACCTTCAGTGGAATCAGCTT